AGTTTTCAGGCTAGAAAATTTCTCAGGGTAGGACAGCCTCTACTGCCTTTTAAAAATTCTGGCTGACGAGACACAGAGCCTGCCTAGTGGTTTTAGCTGCCCAGTATGAACATGATGAAGAAAACTGGCTAATTGAAGATAGTGGTTCTATTTGTTTGACACGGGCTGCTCTGGGTTGTGGTGTTGGAAGCACCACTTCATGGTACCAAGCCCCTTCAAGGAAGTCCTCCAAGCTTTAGTGAAGTATTGATAGCCCACAGCTTTAACCCAGTACGGAAAAAGTGCCTTCTAGAGAAGTAAACATGGAGATGATGGGGTAGCTCCAGGGTTTCCCTGTGACAGGATAGCCTGCCTGCTCCTTGGTCCTAGAGGCATTGGCCCCAGAGCTACCAATCTCTTGTCTGGCATTATGGGAATTCCTCGGTTGAACAGGGCACAATCTACCAAAATACTTAGGAAACAGATGATCAACAGATTTTTTTCTCACTGTTTTGGTTGAATGTTTCCAAAGAACTGTCTCGGGAGATAAGCTCTCAATGCCAAATTCTTGTATTTAAATAGCAATAAGGGAAATAAGTAAATCAGTTTTGAGGACAGATTTAAAAAGAAGAAAATATCCAAATGTCACATCATATGTGGCATTAATAATATGCTGTTTTTTTCTTTTCAAACTTCTCTTGTCATCAATTCATGTCTAATAATTCTTATGGTAAGCCCCGACAAAGAGTAATCTCTTTTCTAGTGACCCTTCTGATGAAGGAATCTTTAATGATAAAGTTTCGGAATGTGAGAGACACTTGGTCTCTTCTTTTTTAAGGCTTGGGGTATTTACACTCTTACGTGTATGGGCAAGAGAACACAGATTTTCTTATCATAGTTTGAAGACAAGAGTTGGAAGGGGAAGATTTTCTAAACATTAAAACATTTGAATGATGTTTCAGATTACAATTATGTATTCATTAACTGTATTTCAATAACATCCTTCGAATGAAAATACCAAGAAAGTACAGGAGGGAAATAATGTGTTGATGCTATTATAGAAATAAATATTCATAGTTAAGCTCTAATATTATCTATCGATTTAATTTTATGAGATTAAACAGTAAGCAACAAAAAATAAAAGAAATGTTTAGTTCTAATAAGATTACTAATTTACGTTTAAACAGTGTACTGCCCATGTCTTGTGATCACAACACAGAAATGGAAATAGGCTTACTCTGATTTATGCCAACTCTCATGTTTGGTCCCCTTGTAACCAGTGGCTTGCATTTGAGGTTTGTAACCATGAGAAACTGTTATTCTATCAGTATTTCATAGTTTCAAGTCACCAAATATGCAAGATTTTCTTGACTCCAAAGGTCCCTTTTTTGGTCACCAGGTCATCAACATATGACACACATGATAATATATGACAATTTATACGTGTAGTAGAATAAAACTCATGGGGTATATTCATTTACTCATTCATGCTTTCATTCATGTATTCAAGTTCTCATTTAGCTTCTGTTGTATGCCCAGTGCTTGTAATAGGCAATGTTGACGATAGCATGAAAAATAACATCACAAATGATCCTCTGCCTAGGCCTCTAACAGAGATACTTCTTTCCTTTTATATATTGTTTCTTGATTAAAACTACTATTATTTTAACTGCATCTGCATGTCACAAATGTTTGACTTTCACAGGTTTTGCATTTTACACTAGAATACAAACTCAGTTAACACTTTCATATGGAAATTCCTGATTTTCTCAAGGCATGAAACCTGGCTTTATACAAAACAGAATAAAAACTTTAAAATGAAAGAGAAAACTGAAGGATAATTTGTGACTTTGCTAATTGTTCTTTCCTGCTGTGGACATTAGTCTAAGATCATAAGATATACTATATACTTTTCATCAGTGCATAAGATTGCTTTCTATCATCTTTTAAACCAATTGAACTAATATTTAGTGGAAACTAAGTGTTACCACTGCTGATTTGAAGAAAACAAAGATAAAATGCTGAAGAATAATACTGCCTTTTCAGTTACTAGGGTTCCTTTAGTGTTTCTAGTCAATAGTTTTTTTTTCCTAAGCAAAACATTGGACTGTTGAAAAAAATAATCACACTAAAGATGTTGTTTCTACTTTGCTGATTTCTGGTTCACTTTACATAACCAGTTGTCTTGAACAATTAATTTAATGAATTAGGTAAGTGCCATAACATAAGGCTTTAACTATGCAAATACTGTGACTAGTCCTTTACTGATAAGGTAGAGCTAATGTACATATCCAATGATAGTGCATATTGAAAATGTAGCAGTGATCTGGAGATTATCACAATTTGCACCGTGCCATCTGTAGTGAAGTTCTTGATAACTATTTGAAGATGATATTAACAGCTTCTAATGAGAAATTTTTTAAATTATGATAATATTCTCAGAAATGTTGAGAACACTTTATTGGATATTATTTTCATTTATTATCTAAGAAGAATAATTTTGTGTATTTAGTAAATGGATAATTTAAACCTTAGCTCATCATCTCCTCCCACTTTCAATTTATTCTATTTGAAAACACAATATATCTAGCTATTTGGTAAGTTTGTGATTATCACTGCCAAATTTAGAAAATCTTATTGTTAGTCAAAGTATTCTTCTTTTTCAGTGAGTATTTCTCAGTATTTTTTGCCTCTATTATATGATTTATTATATGCTTTTTAAGCCATATCAGTATTTATTTCTATGCTGTTCAGATTATGCTCATTATCTTGGTCTCTAACAAGTGTAGGATTTTTTTCTCCCCTGACGTAGTTGCTGTATATTTTCACTAGGTGAAAATAATTCAGACATGCTATATCCTGTAGAAAGGGCTGAACCATGCCATGTAAGCTTCGTTTTAAAGGGAGATAAACTTTAAAATCATGTTTATGATCAGAACAACCACCAAAAATAAATAACAAAGGCAATGGTGAATTCTTCTCACAGGACTAAACTACGCAGCACACTTTTCTGCCAGAGATTCACAGAATATCTTGGAATTTCTAATTATATGCTCATGCTAGGATTGTAACAACTTTGAAAGCCACAAGCTATGCTGTGCTAAATGTAAAAGTGGGGTGAGGGTGGGATGAAGAAGAGGTAGCAAATATGTAGTCTTACCTCCACCCACTCATATCTAATTGTTAAGTCAATTAGAAAAGATTAACGTTGACAATTCAAGAGTGAACTCAGGCTCTGCTTATTAATTCCTGGTTCTTGGTGTGTGAGCTAGCTGAATAAAGAAAATAGTGATGAATTTGCATGAAAAAGCATTATTCAGTTCTATGGAGACTTGATCTGGGCATTAGCTTCTGAGAAGTCATTACATGCCAAAGTCAATATTTTAAATGTACATTCAGAGCACAGCACATCGGGACACCTTTCTAAAGTTTAACTCAACTGGTAAGTTTCCTAGTTCTCTATTAAATTGTTAACCTGTAGTCCATTTTTGTTTCTTAATTCCTCCGACTTTGGGAAACAATCAAGAAGAGAATATGATAGATTGAGACCAGGCATGGTGGTTCACCTGTGGTGTGCCTGTCAAGGGAAGTTTAGGAAATGGTCACAGAACTGAAGAGAAAGGGTCTACAGTGGAAGTATTCAGATGGATGTAACAGGAACTCAAGCAGACATTTAGCATAGGAAGATTGGGACCGAAGAAAGGGAGAGTAACATTTATTGAACACAGCACAAATGACTTGGCTTTCCTCGTGAATTTTATCCACAATTAGAGCTTGTATAGCACTAGGTTAAAAAGGATCATGAGTGGAGAGAAGATGAGAAGGTCAACTGGGAAATTTGAAAAAATAGGTGGGTGGTAGAAGTAACTAGGGAGGCTAAGAGTAAGTGAATTCTTAGAAAAGGAATGGCACCCCTAACTCTTAGGGTCCATCTACAAAACAATTGGTCACTTCAAGAGAAAATTTGACAGCCCTAGAGTTAGCCTTTTGGAGACGTCAACATTAATCACCACAGTATATTCGCCCAGAGTACCTTAACCTTCTTTTCTTTTTTGAAAAATTATGTATACACATATATATATGTATATGTATAATATACACACACATAAACCCATCATACTACAATTTAAGTCCAAATATTTAACTGTTCTGACTTTAGTAGAAAATATCTGACCACTGTCCTTCATTCATCAACCCTTTATCAACTTTTTATCTCAACCTTTTCATGAGTTTCAGTCTTAACTGACCTTGATATTATTGAGAAAGTACCATATCAGGTACATATGTAGAATTGTACTGAGGCTGGAGTTCTGTAATCTCAATGTTGGTCTTCCTTAAAATATAGAGATCATAATTGGGCATAGTCTAAGACTTAATATACCATAACAAAAAGATGATTTTGTTGTATCTTACTAATTATTTATTTGATTTAAAAACAATAAAAGTATTGCTGCTGCTTTCGATACTTGTGGTCAAATATGACCCTCAGACCTTTTTCTGTATTCAGAGCTGTTCCTAAAGTACAGTGAATTGAAGAGATCCCCACAATTCTTCTGTTTTAGAGACTCTGTGCTACTGAGAACATATTATTAGATAAGAAGAGATTTTCAGCTAGTCCAAAAAGAAAAGCCACGTGGCTCAAATCCTTGTCCTTTTATCCACATCTTTCTGGCCCTGTTTTAGTGATTTCCTTCCCCTTTGATATGTGTTTTAACTTTCCCCAAGTTGTCTTTGATATGTGTTTTAACTTGATTTTACCTGGAAACAAATGATGGAAAGAAGTAGAGAGCACTCCCAGTGTAATTTGCCCCAGGCCTGGCCTGTACTTTACTGATAAATAACCTGTCATCTCCCATTCCATATTTGTGCAATTTGATCTTCTGATAACACTTCATTTTGTTGTCTCTGACTACGTTTTTAATCTCCCAACGTTTTTGTTTTGTTTTGTTTCTCCAAGGCAATTCTCTCTTTGGTGTCTTCTATAAACTTCGTTTATCTGACAAATGAGTTTTAGTGTTTACCTGGCCTTGATCGGGTTGAGAAGGTCTCATAGCAGTATCAAAAGTATATGCAGAATTATGCTGAAGTTGGAGTCCTGATAAACTCTTCTGTCCTCTGGCACATTAATTTAAAAAAAAAACATAGTTAGCATAGAGCATTTGTTTAATTGACTATAAATTACCTTTTTGATAAACTCATTTTTGACAATACAGAATGAGTGCTCCCATCTTAAGACTCTATTATTATATGTAGCCAAGAGAAAGAATAATAATGGCTACCATTTGTTGAATGTTTTCCATGTTCAAAGTGTTTTGCTTAACATCATCTAATTTTTTAACAAAAATTTTCAAACATATAGCAAAGTTGGATTTTGTGGTGAATGTCCATGTATCTACCACCTCGACTTTATCATTAACATTTTACTATACTTTCTTTAACATATATCTGCCTATCTATCCATCCATTAATCCATTTTATTTTTTGATCCAACTGTTCAGACATCAGTTTATTTCACAAAATATTGTATTATCTTATTTGAATATTTACAAAAAGCCTGAAAGATAGGTATTATTAACTCCATTTTGCAGATGAGAAACCTGAGCCTGAGAAATTTCAAGGAAATTCCCCAAAGCCACACAGTCAGTGATTTAGAGAGCAGGGACATGAGGCCCAGTCTGTCTGGCTTTATGCCCAGACTTTTCCCACTATACTAGGGAATCTCCCAGATTATATACAGAATCACTCTGTCAACTCACAATTCAGAGAATGGCAGAGAGGAAAAAAAGGAGCTCAAACTAAATTATATTTTAACTGGAGGAAAATAAGGCAGCTTAATTCTTTACCCAAGAAGCCTATTAGTAACCCCAAATGCTTTGAATGCTACTACTATCCTGATTTATAATCAAGCTTTTTGTTTTGTCTTTGCTTCTCAATGCAGTTTTCCATTAATAATTTCATCTGGTTCTCATAACTATGGAAAAGTAGGATATGTATTACTCAACTCCCCACTTAAATGGAGGAAACTGGAGCTAAGTGATCCACTCAAAGTCATAGCCACTTACTAGAAAAGAGAGGATGAGAATACAAATCCAGTATTCTAGAAAGCTTTGGAGTAGGAAAGTTATGGAGAATGTTTAAATGGTGACTTGTTTACAGGTATGATTTCTAATTATAATGATTCTTTAAAATCTCAGGAGGTTTCCAACCTAAGTGGTAATAAGAAATTCTCCATATTAACTTCAATTTACAAAGTTAATGTTGGTTAGCATTGACTTTATGCATATGTACATGTGTACCACATGATACTTTAAAGAGTATGGAATGATGGTGCAAACAAAAATTAGGATTTTGAAACAACAGAAAGGTCGGAGAGTTTATCTCACCCCTCCCAGAGACAAATATCTGAGCCTGCTCAAATTGTTGATTTTATTGCAATTTGTAAGCCTGTTCTTAGAAGTGCGAGGCTCACAGTAGCAGCCACTTCCAATTTTAATGTAATATTTCAAACTATCCTCATATTACATAAAGGGTAACATTATCTTGACACTGGAGAATGATACTTCAAAGTAGATGCTAATTTGAATTAACTGATATAAAAATTGATGAGATTTTACCTTACTGGTATTTACGCCTCATACCTCTATCATTCAGAAGCAGTGCAAAGTATAAAGGCTACTGTTTGCTTTTAAACAAAGAAATAAAAGGCATGGAGCAGGACTTCACAGCTTTCAAAGCACTGTTTTATCTCATGAGATTCCATTAGGATAGCATGGGGGTTAAGAGTTTAGGCCTAGGAGCCAGATTGCCTGGGAACAGACTTAGCCCTGTAACCTCAGCCAAATTATTTGATCTCTCTGTGCCTGAGTAATCTCATCTGTACTTTATAGGGTTCTTGTGAGGATTAAATAAATTGATATGTATGAAACATTTATAATTCGGCCTGACACACATAGTAAACTCTCAGTAAATGATTGTTATTTCAGTGTCATTCTCACCATCTCTGTGAGGTGGGTAGGCCAGATTATAGTAATCTCTATTTTATAGATGAGGAAATTGAAGCTCAGTAAGGTGAAGAGATTTACCCAAACAGAGTCAGATTATGGTCAAGTCTATTGGATTCCTCTTTCCATTTCTCTGACATTGTTGCTGGGGGTTGGGGGTGAGTAGGAGATACTGGTACAGCAGCACACCCACCCCACTCCCCCCCCCCGACTCTTAGGAGAGTATGTGTGGTGCACACAAATACTGCCTTGGTGGAAGGAAGGCACTGAAGTAGGACAATTCTTTAATGAATTACACTTGGCTTTTATCTGAGGAAGGGGCTTTCCAGTTTTTTCTGTATCCAAATCCTGAACAAAATGTATTTGGTTATCCAGACTTTTGTTTGAATTTAATTAAACGTTGATGAATATGAAAGAGAACATACCAGCTGTAGGCATGATAAATGATATTCATTATTTCTTGAGTCATTTGCTGATCTCACAAGATATTTCCCATCATTCTCAGAGGTACTTAGAAATTTCTTACCGGTGATCATTTATATTCTTCTTCGACTTCTTTTTACAGTAGTGGATAGTCTGGATTGTTACACCAACTATTAAAGCCAGTCCTATTCCAGGCAACACTGCTACTAAAATCAGGTCCAGAGTATTCCAGAGTTGGTCACATTTCGCCCCCATGTACCAATAATTTCCCCATTGACCTCTGAAATTTGGACATCTAGATAGAGATAATAGAGATAGAAAAAGCTGACAAATTAGAAAAAATAAGTCTCCCCTGAATGAATGAAATCTTTCATTGTTACTCAACCATGAGGTTTCCCTTTAAGGCCCTCAAGAGATTTATGTTGTCCCATTTTCCACTTAAGCAAACTCAAAAACCTACAGGTTTGAACACGCTGAGTCAGCATACAGAAGGCTGTCAGGATTTCCCAACCATTAGCTAATGAAGATGTGGCACTTAGAAATGGAAAAAAGAAGGGATCACCCAGAAGGGCTGTCTCAAGACTGCTTTTAAAACTATCCGCATTTTGCCCGCTGCTCATATCTCTATTCACTCTGGCTACTTTAGTTCTGTCAGTGCTATAAAAATAGTTCGAAGGAACCTAGTCTACCAATTCTGTAACTGCAGGCTGGGTGTTCCCCCTACCCATTCCTACCGCGATGAATGCAGTTTAACAGACTAACTCTGCCACTCTACAGTGAATACAAGAAAAAACATGAGGAGGTGAGGACAGAATATCTGCCAGCAAAATCGGCCTGCCCCCATCTTTCCCATGGCTCCAGATTTTCCTCCTCTATGTTTATAGAAATACGTGACTCATATACGAACTTCTAGTGTGTTTTTATGAAGCCTTAAAACTCTGCCAAATAACCTGAATGTAATTCTCTGGAGCATAGACTGAACTGGCATGGCATACACCCACGTAGAAATGTCTATGTGTTTGTGGAGAGGAATAATATGACTTCTCACCATCCTCCAAGGGAATGACTAATGGGGAGGTTAGTTCATGTAGTATCTTTAGAGGTTGCTTCATTGTCTCCTATAGAATTGATAAAGGATTACCCAGTTGAATAGTAAATGTCAGATCCTCAGTAAGTTACTCTTGGTTTGTATTGTTCCAATATATTAAAGAGTACTGTCATGGATGACATGAAGGGACTGATTAAATCATTACTATAATCTTTTATAGCTCTGGTTGTCTAGGATTCTGTAGGAAAATGCATCTACCAGCTTCAAATAAGTAGTAATCTACTCAATAGGACATGGCTTCTAATATGTAACATAATGTCATTCATTTAAGGATGTCAAAATATATTTGAAAAATATGTCTTATCAAGCCTCATGGATTTCTTCCTAGAAAAAAGGCTTTTGCAAGGGTATATTTGTTGTTTAGCTTAGAAATGAATCACAAAGGAATAATCTATTAAGCAACAACATTTCATTCATTTATTTAACAACATTTATTGGGTGCCTACTACATGCCAAGTACTGTTCCAGACACCTTAGATCGAACAGTGAATAAAACAAATATCTATGTCCTCAAGTAGCTTAAAATGTAGCAAAGGAAGACAGACAACAAAAATAAGCATAATTAGTACATTATCTAGAATGTTTAAAGGTGATAAATGCTAAGGAAAAAAGAAAAAGTAGAGCAGGGTAAGGGGGATTGGCAATGTGCAGGGTAGGATAGTGAGACAGGTTGCTGTGATATAATAGGGTAGTAAAGGGCAGGCCTCATTGAGAAAGTAACATTTGAAGAAAGACTGAAGGAGGTGAGGAAGTTAGCCATAGGATATTTTGGGAGAAGAGCATTCCAAGCAACAGAAACAGCAAGAACAAAGGCTCTTTGTTCTGAAAACAGGAGAGAGGGTGCGTACATGTTTGAGGAACACAAGGAAATCAGTGTGGCTGAAGCACAGTGGGTTAGAGGAGTATCGAAGACAATAAGGCCAAAGAGAGAAGGAGACTAGACATGAAAGACCTTGTAGGTGATTGTAAGGACCTTGACTTTTACACTAAGTGAAATGAGAAACAATTCCAGGGTTTTGAGAAGAAGAGTGACATGATCTAGGTTGTTTTAAAAAGATCACTCTGGGGGCCGGCCCCATGGCTGAGTGGTTAAGTTCGCGCGCTCCACTGCAGGTTGGCCCAGTGTTTCGTTGGTGCGAATCCTGGGCACGGACATGGCACTGCTCATCAAACCACGCTGAGGTTGCGTCCCACATGCCAAAACTAGAAGGACCCACAACGAAGAATATACAACTATGTATCGGGGGACTTTGGGGAGAAAAAGGAAAAAAATAATAAAAACATCTTTAAAAAAAAATATCACTCTGTTTTCTACAGTACTGAAAACAGACTATAACAGACAAAGGCAGAAGCAGGGAGAAAGGCCACAAAGCTGTTCAGTAATCTAGGCAAGAGATGACCAAAATGGCTTAGACCAGAATGGTAACAGTGGGGGAAATGGTAAAAAAAATGGTTGATTTCTGCTTATGTGTTTAAGGCAGAAACAACAGGATTTCCTGATGGACAGGAAGTAGAATGTGCAAGAAAAAGAGGACTGAAGAATGACTTTAAGGTTTTTGGCCTAAGCAAACAAAAGGATGAAGTTGCCATCAATTGACATGGAAAAGATGGCAAAAAGAACATGTTTGAGGTGGTGATGGGAGTTGAGGAGTTCAGTTTTGTACTTGTTGATTTTGAAATGGATGTTAGATATCAAAGTGGAGATGTTGAGTATGCAGTTATATATCTGAGTCTGGAGGTATGAATTTTCCCAGCTTGCATGGTATTTAAAACATGAAACTGGATGAGATCACCAAGGGAGGAAGTATAGATAAAGAGGATGAAGAACTAAGCTCTGGGACACTCCAACACTAAGTAGGTGGGGGCAAGAGAAGAGACTAGCAAAGGGAATTGAGAAGTGGACAGTGAGGCAGAAGGAAAAAAACAGGAGAGAAGGATATCCTGGAAGCCAAGTGAAAATTCACGGAGGAGAGAGTGATCAACTATATTAAGTGCTGCTGATGGGTTAAGTAAGATGAAGACTGAGAATTGACAATTGAGCTGAGCATCGTAGAGGCTAGGGAGAAGAAATGAACTAACTTTTCGGAGCACCTCTCTGAGCCAGTTACTATGCAAGGAATTTTAAATATTTTATCTTATTTAATTCTCATAGCAATCCTGGGTGGTATGTAAATGTTTTTTTTTTCTTATCATCAATGGGAAATAAAACTGTTGTATAAAATACATTTAAAATGTAGTCTACGTTTTTTTTCTCAATGACTAGTAAGTATGTGAGAAATGTGAACATTGGTTGAGAGATAGTTTAACTGTTCCAAATAAAAATAGTCAAACTCATAGAAGCAGAGAGTAGAATGGAGGTTGTCAGGGGCTGAGGGGAGGGGGAAATAGGGAATTGTTTTTCAATGGGTATAAAGTTTCTGTTATTCATGATAAAGAAGTTCTACACATCTGTTGTACAACATAATACCTAGAGTTAACAGTACAGAATTGTGCACTTAAACATATGTTAAAAGGATAGATCTCACGTTAAGTATTCTTACAAAAAAAGAGAAAAGATATCACAAAAGAACACATGGAAATAAATTTTTGGTGGTGATGGATATGTTTAGTGCCTTGGTTGTGGTGATGGTGTCGTTGGTGTCTGCATATGTCCAGACTCATCAAGGATGTGTACATTAAATGTGTGCAATTTTTGTATGTCAATTATACCTCAATAAAAACAACAAAACCAGATTCGAATTCTGTTTAGATCTCTTACAATACTGATTCTCATTTTTGTTACAATTATGGAGGTAGGGGATCAGAGTTAGTTGAATTTTTTTTTAAATCTGAAATTAAATAATTTTTACTCTATTTGTAACAATGTAAAATGTAGTTCTTTGAAATAAAACATGACTGAAAATTTTAAAAGTATATGTCAGGCTTGTGTTCTTAGTTTGGCCAGTTTTGTTTAGTTTTCTATCTTTTAAACAAATTTTGAGTTTGGCTTTTGTTCATTCTTTATTTGAATGAAACATTTGGAACGTGTGTGTGTATGATTTGCCTGTAGTGGTGTGGACAGTGTTTGGTAGTATGTGTATCCTTAGACAATTTCAGCAATGCCATCAAAATGTTTTAAGAACTTAAAAGTAATGATTACATCATTTAGCTTGATACATTCAATTCTGATTTGTTACTGCCTAACTCTGATTAACAATGTCAAAATAACTGACTCAAACTGTGTGGTGCTAAATATATTTAGTAATAAAAATGATCCTTGATCATCAGGTAGACATTCAAAGAACTTGACAGATACATATATATATATGCACAGGCACACCAAGTCCAGAGCAGTTATGCTCCACATTGAGATCCACCAGTAAAATAAGTTGAGGTAACTTGTTTGAATCAACTTGATGGAGAAAAATTTCGAAAAAGGGATAATGTCAACGTGATGTGGCAATTGTAAAGACTTGTAAAACAAATGAGGCAAATGCTTGTAATAAAGATTATAAAGATAGGTAAAGGGTAATTAGCATTTAGCCAAAATGTTGATTAGATGCCTCCAGAACTCCTCTAACTATAAGTTTGCAAATAACATTATAATCGTCAAATGACATATATATTTTTTTCATTGCTGTATAACATTTACTTCCCACTCCTTGAATGTAATTTTGCAATCTGGCTTGTATTCTTATCTCAATCTTGGAACAATATTTTCAAAGGGTATCACCAACAAATCTTAAATGCTAAATCCAATAGCTTTTTAAAATCACTTTTCGTCTTCAAAATTCTTGCAATATTTTGCACTATTGAGCAACCATTCCCATTGAATGACTGATTCATTCAACAAATCATTGCAGAACACCTTCTATATGGCAGGCATTATGCTAGATGCTGAAGAAAAATAAGACTAAATTCTTGTTTTTGTGGTGCTCTCACAAAGGAAACATAAAACCTACATTCAAAGAAATTGCAGCAGAGCGGTTTAAGTGCTGTGTTAGCAGTATGATGGAGCTTCGTCTAGAAGGTTAGGTAGGAATTTATCAAGGGAAGAAGAGCTGTGGTAAGAGGAAGGACGGTGAAGGAAGAGTAATAGAGAGAAGTTGTAGTACATGTGAACATCCAAAAGTGAGAGAGAAAATAGTACACTTGAGGAACTGAAAATACTATCATTTAGTATGTGCAGAGCATGGTGTGCAAACTATTCACATTTCTCCAAACATAAAATTCTCTCAAACCTCAGTGCTTTTGCCCATACTGGTTCCTTTGCCTACACCTGGTTTTCTTACTATCTTTTTTCAAAATTCAGTTCAAGAGGCATGGACCCTGGAACACCTTTCACTATTGCCCCCTCCCCACCTATCCTCTGTTTCTCTCACATATGCACTCTTTATTATTCTTATATTATCTTCTTTCCTAGGTCTTCTTCTCATTTTCTACCGAACTAGTCTCATTTTTATGGTCAGAACAAGTAAAAACTCTGCCTAACTTTTAAAGGAAAAAATTATCTATGACTCAAAGAACACAGTTTGTTATAAAAAGTAAACCTGGAAGCAAAGAGGGGGAGTCACAGTGCATTTAAAGTATTTCTTGATTTACAAAAAACTTCATTCACACATAAGATGTCAGGATTATTGCCATTGCATAACATGAGGCACACCTTAAACTTTTCTTCTTTAGAACAGTAAAATCGTTTATTTATGAATATATGTAACATCTTTAAAAAATCTGTCTGAGGAAAGCAGTTTTGAATGGTGCTAATCTCTTAAGTTAAAATAAATCGTCTCAGTTAATGTTTTAATTTTTATTATATTGTTTTTAAAACAGTATATTAAAATAGTTTAGGGTATCTACAACAATAGTGCTGTATGTATAGGAGCCATTTCTGATTAAAATATCATTTTAAAACAAGTATTGCATCATTGAATACAGCAAACAGGCAAAAACAAAGTGAATTATTACTTACAATATGTTGTGCTTACTCTGCTTTTACAGCATATATAACCACTTACTTGCAAAAAGGCTCTCCATCTTTGCATGTACAAACAATGTTCTCTGGACAAAAACCTGTTGTATTCCCTGGACAGTCATCAAAGTCAGTCACAGATGTACAATTGGCTGTAAATGACAACATTCAAAAAAGTCCTCAACAATATAGAACAAATGTTTCAGAGTTGGCTGATACACATGTGAGAAGTTCTGCATGTTAGAAAAACTATTCATGTTAAAGAATCTTAAAATATGAAATTGAGGATAGCTTTGTGGTACTTTGGGAATATTCAAATATATTTTCAAGTACTAGTTTCCAAAAATCAAGACGAACAACAAACGTGATTTCATTCTATTATTTTGTACCTGGTGATTTTCACAGCATGGCTTTAAAAACAGTCAATACACAGCATTATAGCCCAAAGGACATCCAACATTTGAAACAAAATTCTTTTGGACTAAATTTGAGTATCATCTCTGGCAAAGGGAAGACAAAACAGTATATCTAAAGATAAAGTCAACATATATCGTGGTAAGCTAGAACAGTTCCAGTTTACGCCTGTTGTCCTGGAATAATTATTACTACTGCTCTCTCCAGTCTCAAAGTGCCCTGATTGAGACAAATAGTAGTACTAGTAGGCTACTGGGGGTAGCAGGCACCTCAGCCTCAACCCTTAATGGTTTTTTAATATTTCTAAGGCTACCCTGGAGAGTCATTCTGCCAATAATATGGCTACAGTATTCCTTCCAGCAATCTGGACTGAGAAAAGGTATTCTAGAGTCTGAAAATCAGTGAGTAGGAAATTTATTAGGAGTCACAAAACCTCTAAACATGAACAAAAACTCTAATTCCAAGAAAGGGAGAACTATTTTGACCTTCTGACAGCCTAAACACAAAGAAGAGATAATATAGTGTGAGATTTCAGATTGCCTGAGTCTCAGGGCTCTGAGTATCTGTTTGAGGTTACTGTGGTGAGCAAGAAGGGAAAATGTCTCTGATAAGATCAGCCCTATAGAATCCAAAGAAAAACTGCTTGCCTTTTGGATAGCATATTTTTTCCCTAACGTAAAATATGATACACTGATTTTGCTACATAAAAGAATTTCTAAAAGAAATGAAAGGGTGACATCAGAAAACACAATGGAATTTTTTTATTTTTTATTTTTGGTGAGGGATATTAGCCCTGAGCGAACATCTTTGCCAGTCTTTCTCTATTTTGTATGTGGGACACCTGCCACAGCATGGCTTGATGAGCAGTGTATAGGTCTGCACCTGGGATCTAAACCTGCGAACCCTGGGCTGCCAAAGTAGAGTGTGAGAACTTAACCACTACGCCACTGGGCCAGTCTCATAATAGAATTTTTAAGTGAAAACATAGTACAGTACTTTAAAACAGTTTCACTCTAATCTTTGAATAAGGAAACAACTTCAGTTGATCAAAATGCTCCACTGACTATCTAACTGCCCAACACTGCAAAAATCCCTCACCAGACTAGTGGCTCAAATGGTGTTGCTTGGAGAAATTTAAGTCACATCTGCTTTCAGTGGGCAATGTTTTGAAAAAGAATTGTACTTCTTGGCTTGGCAAAGATTTTAGGCTATGTTCTATAGACGGATGTGATTATATAATTTATTTCTTTAGATATCTATTTCCTTTTGTAGGGATTCACATGGTTTTTATTACATCAAGTAAGTATATGTTTGTATTGAACACATTGCAGAGCCAAAATTCTATGAAAAATAAAGTACAACCTTTATATATTATGAGAAACAAAGTGTTAAATATAAGTAGCCTAAAACAACCACTATTATTGACACAAGTAAAAATTTTAGTTGGTAATCCATAGAATTTTTTATATTTACCTCAAAGGACAGAGACAAACACATTAGCTTCAAGAGAAAACAATTATTTATCCATTCTAAAAATAAACACACAAAAAATCAGATACTTTCAGGTTTGTGAATTTTTAACAACAAAACTTTGCTTGGAATACTGTTTAGTCCCTTAGCTACCTACTGCAGCCTTGATTCCCTCTCTAATTAAAATCTAATTAATTCTTTAAATCTGCAACCTATGGAAATAAAGCAATTTAAAATTTTCTTACGTTGTGCACAATGTACAGTCAGAAAACAGCAGGAGATGAGCAGAATTCGAGTCAATATAGACATGCAATCCACCATCATGAAACACAAGCAGTCCTAACAACTGCGCTTAAAGACTACTGCGATTATGAGAGGCGATCAGTGAACAGATTGAGAGTGGTTTATATACGAGATAAGTGAACATGGATTTTGAACTTTTCCCCTCCAGCCTGAGCAAATTACTAGTTAACTTTTTGGTTGTACACTTGCTTCTCTATATCTCCAGTTCCTATATATAGAACATACATGACTTGATGAGCTGTATACTGCTGGAGTTTAGTCAAAGCTATTTGTTACTTACAAGAACTATTTGTTCATCTTCGTGCTAGGTTTCATAATGTCTTATCATTTGCTCCCCCTGCAAAAAAACACCTCATGCTTGAAATATGCTGCTACGACTGCAGTTTTCAACCCTGTTCAACATCAGCGATCTTTGACTTTACAGCCACCAGGACTGCTAAGCAATAATCTGAAAACATTATTGAGTATTCTTGGCAAGGAGAAGAGGTGAAAAAAGAGTAAGAAAAAAAAGGAGTGGAAGAGGGCAGAAAGAGAGAAACAGAATTAAGGATAGTTGCCAAGAAGAGAAATAAAGAGGAGACAGGGAAGGAAGTATTAGGCAGGGCAACAGACACAGACGTAATCCAGCTGTACAGCAGACTTTCATTAGGATTCTCTCTCCCTCATTCATTTTCTCTCCCTGTCTCTCTCTCTCCTCAAGTTCACATTTGTCAGGATGTCAGTTCACATTCTGCTAATATTACCTACCATATATTTTCCATCTGGGACATTTTGATAAGTTGTTAACCTTGTACCTCCTGTGTATCTCAAAATCTACTATTTCCTCTACCTACTGGCAAGTGTATTTTATGTTCTATTTCCTGCTGGAATTTATCCATTATTGTACTTTACTCTACACTCCTTCTTTCTGCCAAACAATAAAATGGTAGTTTCATGAGAGTGCCAGGTTGAATCTTCATGCCACCTGTTAATACAGACAATTTTTTATCTACCTGGCCCACATTGACCCAGTATAACTTACTTGTTTTCAATAATTCTATCTCATTTAAAAATAATCTCCTTGTTTTACAATACTTATAGTAGTAAAATATGTATTTAATCGCATTAGTACAATATTATGAGAATATATAAACCCATTTTTGAAAAATGGAAATTTTATGTTTATTTCTATTGCCATGAGAACCAAGTCTTTAGAGTGTTTATTAAGAAATAAGATACAAATGGTTATGAACCACAGTAAATAGAGTCTAACTCTCTACGTAACCTCTGCCTGAATCCCCTCTACAAAATTACCCTGGCTTTAGAGATGAATCTCAGTTTCCTTTGGTTCAGAATTTATGGATTACTATTGTCACTAAAGTGCTCTGCTTAAACATTCTGGTGACAGGTAACTCAGACCCTCTGGAAGCAGCCAGCTCTGTCAGAAATAGTCTTTCTTTTATTAAACCAAAATCTACTCTCCTGAAGCTTCCAACCAATAGGAAACAAATTCACTGTGGCCAACTTGGAAAGTCCTGCCATATGGTGAGTTTTCAGAAGCACAGTAGCAGACAAGTTGTGGGAAGAAAACATGTCAGCTAACATATCCTGTTTACTATGGGAGTAGATAGTATCTTCCTTCTTCATCGCTACCTTTCTAAGACATTAAGGTTAACTATAAATTATCTATGTGAGGCACACATGGTGGTTACAAATCCAACAGTAAATTATTCTCCCTCCCCAGCCCAACGAACACCTTCTTTTATGTAGGCAAAAGCCTTTTTTCCCCCCAACAAGGGCTGAAAGTGCCAGTTATTGCTATCTTAGCCTACCTTGCAGCTGGATGTGGCCATACGAAATGATTCTAACCAATGAGACATAAAGAGAAGTCTGCTGGGGTTTCTCAGGAAATATTCCTTCTTAATGAAAAGAAAAGGGCTATTTTCCCTTGCAGCCCCCTTTCTTCCTTCTTTGCGTACAGGTGTATCAGGATGTGATGCTTGGAATGGCTACAGTCATCTTGCACCCATGGGTAGAGCCATCCTAATACACTGGAAGCTACAGAGTGGAAAAATGGAAAAAAACCTAGGTCCTTGATGGCCTTATTGAACTACTAAGGTAAGTCTGGGGTTACCTAACTTCAGACATTTTTTTATATGATATTTATTGATAAACTTCTGCTATTTAAGCTATGTTTAGTTGGGTGTTCTGTTACTTGCAGCCAAGAGTGTTCTAACTGATACACTATGTTAATGAAAAGGAACAATAATATGGATCAATTAAAGTGACATTTTAAGAATTCTAGAGATATGAGGTAAATATTGCAAGCCTTGGTGGTCTAGCGGTTAAGAGTCAGTGCTCCCATCATTGTGGCCCAGGTCTGTTTCCCGGTCAGGGAACCACACCACCCATCTCTTGGTTGTCATACTGTGGCAGCTTCATGTTGCTCTGTTGCTGAAAGCCATGCCACCAGTATTTCAAATACCAGCAGGGTCACCCATGGTGGACAGGTTTCAGCAGAGCTTCCAGACTAAGACAGACTAGGAAGAGGGACCTGGCCACCCACTTCTGAAAATATTGGCCATGAAAATCCTATGACTAGCAGCAGAGCACTGTCTGATATAGCACCCAAAGGTGAAAGGATGGTGCAAAAAGACCAGGCAAGGTTCTGCTCCGCTGTGCACAGGGTCGCTGGGAGTTGGAATTGACTTGATAGCACTAACAACAACAAATGTAAATATTCTATATTCTAATGCATTGGGGGTAATGGCTATAAACCTGTTATTCTGATTACATGAAACAGGATGCAATTAAATCCAAGGAGGCTAACAACAGATCCTAAATTTTGAAGTAATTGTATAATAGAGAATCCAGTGTGACCTTCAATTAAAGTATAATTAGATGTAATAAGGTATACTTAAATAATTCAGTAAAAGTAATCTTATAATAACAAGAGCTCATATTTATGAATTGGGATATATCAGCTTGATCTAGATATGGTCAAACATACTATATTTCACAGGACCAAAAAATTTACTCCAGTTGTGCCACTTGCTAACTGTGTGACCTTGGGAAAGTTAACTAACCTCTCTGAGCCTCGGTTTCCTCTTTTGAAAAGAAAGGATGATAATAATAGTACCTTCCTCATAGCCTTGTTATGAGGATTTAAAAAGTAGCATAGCAGTTATTTGGCACATGATAATTGCTCTATAAGTGAGAACTATTGTTATTATTTATAATTTTATGACATAAATGTAGTTCAAATAAAAACTCAGAAGAACAAAGAAGTGGTCATTTAGGTGAATAGGAAATGATATAATTTTAGCTTTCATCCTTGAATGAGTTGGAAAGAACATCAAAATCAGGCAATAAATATAAAGATTGTTAATGGAAGTAGGAGTGAATTTAAAAGGTGGGTTGGATTTAAGTTCAAAAACATAAAGCCGATAGTGGTTAACTTTGGGAGAGTAGTGACTGAGAGTTGGCAAGAGGGGGATCCTGGGGTGCAGATAACGTTCTGGTTCTTAATCTGGGTACTAGTTACATGGGTGTGCTCAATTTGTAAAAAGTTATCTAACTGTGCACTTATAGTTTATATATTTTTATGAATGTAATACTTCAACAAAAAGTTATTTTAGGGGCCTGCCTAGTGGCATAGTGGTTAAGTCTGCATGCTCTGCTTTGGTGGCCCAAGGTTCACAAGTTTGGATCCTGAGTGTGGACCTACACGCTGTTCATCAAGCCATGCTGTGACGGCATCCCACATACAAAATAGAGGAAGATTGGCACAGATGTTACCTCAGTGACAATCTTCCTCAAGCAAAAGGAGGAAGATTGGCAACAGATGTTAGCTCAGGGACAATCTTCCTCACCAAAAAGAAAAAAAGTTATTTTAAAAAGGGGAGTCAGGGTTGCTCATAGAAAGGTATAACAAGTTTAATGTAAATTAAAGTCAGATCCTTTACTTTCAGAAAAGCATATATGACTTCTCTTTACATATTTATGGACAAAGGCAAATCCACAAATAA